CTGAAATTTCCCCAAAATGGGATAGAATTAGGATAGAATTCAAGATTTGGTTTAAAATATGAAATGATAGCCGATTGCCAAAGGTTTCTTGGATTTATATACACAGATTGGTAAAATTACGGAACGTCTGCAACTGAGGTTCAAAGTTGGGGTATGATGACCCAACCCAATCCCTGCTTTAATTCATAAAAATGTCCCTACAACAAAGCTTTTGTTCACACTTGGTGCAAATAATAGGCAATTGCCTAGGATTACATTGACCTAAAGACCCAGGTTGGTAAATTCGCGGAAAGTCTACAACAGAGATCCAAAATTAGGGTATGGTGACTCTACTCTCTACCAACAGCAAAGCATTTGTCCAAATTAGGTACAGATGACAGCCAATTGCCTAATGTTTTCTAAAATTTATCGAACTTCTGCAACTGAGTTCCACAGTTGGGGTGAGGTGACCCTATCCCCTCCCTACTTAAATTCATAAAAGAGTTCCTACGGCTATTTTTTTCCACACTTGGTACAAATGATAGACAATGGCATACGGTTGCCTGGACCCAAAAACACAGGTGGGTGAATTTACGGAACATTTACAACCGAGGTCTAAATATGGGGTATGTTGACTCTACCCCTCCCGACGTTTATTCATAAAAATTCCCTACGGCAAAGCTTTTGTCCACACTTGGTTCAAATAATAGGTAATTGTTAAAGGTTGTCTTGACCCAAAGACCCAGGTGGGTAAATTTACTTAACGTCTACAACTGAGGTCCAAAATTGGGGTATGGTGACCCTACCTCCTTCATACTTTAATTCATTAAAAAAATTCCTTACGACAAAACTGTTGTCCACAATAGGTGCAAATGACAGGCAATGACCTAAGGTTGCCCGAACCAGACGGGTCAGGCGGGTAAAATCAAGGATCTTCTGCAACTGAAGCCCAAAGTTGGGGTATATGGTGACCCTTCCCCTTCCCTGCTTTTATTCATAAAAAGAGACACAACGGCAAATCTTTGGTCCACTTGAAATACAAATGATAGCCAATTGTATGAGGTTGCCCAAAGACCCAGGTGGGTAAATTTACGGAACTTCTGCAACTGAGGTCCAAATTTGAGTTAAGTCGGCCACAAAAGACCACAACGTGAAATTGTGAAGTAATTCAAACGAGAAAACGAACGGTCTAATTTATAGCTAAACAATCTACGAAAAACAAATATGACACACATGAAACAACGACAACCATTGAACTACAGGCTCTTGGCTTGGGGCAGCCATTTAAAGAAAGTGCACGCGGCGGGATTAACATGTATGTCAGCTCTAAACCCTAACCTAAACTAGTGTATAATAGCACAGCATAAGAAGAAAATGTAATGACAGTTTTGATTGACTCAATAGATCAGTATGACTGGGTAACATAAATCCATCAGCGTGACTCGGGTGCTTTGGAAGGGTAAGCGGATTCTGCTCAACTTGTGGCACACGTCGTGTTATTTGTGAAAGCACAAACCAAGTGATTTGGTTTTATTTGGTAGTTTACATTCGAGGAAAAGATGACTGGATTGTGGTTACGACAACTGGAACCTATCCGTCGTCACCTGTGAAACAGATGTATTTGAATTTTTTTTTCAGTTAGTGCGTGGTATATCAGAAATTGCAATTAATAAAAATAAAAGTGTAATGTCATATGTTCAAATGAACATAGACGTTAAAATAACCCCGAATAATTCTTATTTTATAGAATTGATGCTTTGTCGCTTAGTCCCCCCCTTTTTCCCTGTAACTTTAGTGCGAGTTGATTTAAAGTGTCTCATATGTTGAAAATACAGTACAAGTCTTTTGATTTGTGTCTTACCTGCGACATTAATGTAGCGACAGTGAGATACAACAAACCTATATAGTCGGCGTCTTCATCATTTAGATCGTTAGGTTTCTAGTTTGAATTGTTTTTATATTTTTCATTTAGAGACCTTTTTAAGCTTACTATGTGGTATGAGTTTTGCTCTATCTTAAAGACCATACAGTCACACATATATATTAACCTCTACGCCATTTGGTATGTGGTTGAGAGTTGTCTCATTGGCAATCATATCACATTTTTTTTATTTCTATATTAGTTTTTTTTTTTTTTGCATTGAATATTACCGAATAAAACTATTTTGACATGATAAATTTGTAAACCTCTATGAATTGTTATAAAACTTGTATAGGAGTTATTCTTCAAGACAAAGATAAAGCAGTGTTCCTTGGAATCATTTACGAACTTATTATAATACTGCTTGCATTTGAGAACTAGGAAAAACCGGCAAGTTGTTTTGGGATATCCCCCTTATGTCCGAATTACTGTAAATGTTTTAGTACTTTTTTTCTTAATTTTGTCTGTTGTTCCCCTTTTTCATACCAAATAACTATGAACAACAACTTGAATTTTAATTTGAACTTTAACTTAATGGATAGCGGTACTCATCAAAAGCGCATTACACAAACGACATATGGAAATCGGTCTAAAAACAGAACATATTTTTTTCCAAAATGGTCACGTGGTTTTACCTTGTAGTAGTAATGGGATAACCACATCAAAGAATGACATGACCACGTCAAATACTGAAACAAACACATCATGTAGTGTAAAATCGTCAAATTTTGAAACATCATTACGTAATGTTAAAGCTATATAAAGAATTGACAAATCATCATTACGAAATAACAAAACCACATCATGTAATGAAACAACTACATCACGTTAAGTCACATACACATCAAGTAATGTTAAAACCACATTGCCTTAAAACACAACCACATTAAATAATGGTGAAACCACATCGAGTAATGACAAAACCATATTAAGTAATGACAAAACTATATCAAGTCAATACGAAACCATATCATGTAATATCGGAATATCATTAAGTAATGACTATTCCATAGTGAGTTATATCAAAACATCATTACGTAATGTCAAAACCATATTATGTAAAGACAAACTATCATCCAGTAATAATAGAACAACATAACGTAATATCAGAGTTCCACATAAGACAGCTGTGGCGTTCCATACTATATATATAAATGATTTTTTTATAAAATAGATGTAAGAGTTGGAATTTTTGAATACATCAATATACAATGTATGGGTATTTTTTCAAACCCAAGCCGGACGTCTGAACCCAATTTTGCTTATCGATCCGTAAAACAAACTGATTCTATAAATGGTTTCTAATTCGACACTGTAACTATATCTTGGAATACTGTTTTCTTTGTGGTAGAAATATTGATTTTGTGTGTGTGTGTGTGTTCTTTTTTTTTTTTTTTTTTTTTGTGCTTTCCATCGATCTGACCTTTTCAACTGATTTTTATAATTGTTCTTATGTTGCACTGTTATACCACTGTCCAAGGTTATGGGGAGAGTGGCGCCAGCAAACATGTTTATCCCCGTCACATTCTGTTTGTTGTTGTGTACATAAATTAGGCCGTTAGTTTTCTCTTCAGAATTTTTTTTACATTTGTCATTTCGGGGCCTTTAATAGCTTATTGATTTGGCTGAAGGCTTTTCGGTGACACATCGTTGTAAACGTCTACGTCATTTGGTCCCTTGTGAAGCGTTGTCTCATTGCAGGCATACGACATCTTCTTTTTTTCATATTGACTGCACAAATTCCGAACCATTATTTCCAAAGGGGAATCGTTACAGTTTCACATTAAATCGTTATGTTTTCTAGTTTTTGAAATAAGCAACACTTGTACCACAAAATAAATATATATTTTCTCTTTAATTTTAAAACGACAAAACTTTTCTCTGGTAATTATTTCGATGTGTAAATTTGCTTTATAAACTTTTCTTTAAAGATTTTCAAATTTATTATGAGAATAGATTCCGTTATAACGACGTTATTATAGACAACAACTGTAACAACGTTATCAGTGATCTCTGAGTTTGAATCGACTCCGAACAAAGAATAAATAGAGTACGAATAACTGTAACGTCGACCCAACGACACAAATAAGCAAAGACTACAAAAAGTCAAAACACAGTCTTCACACTTTCGTATACTAAATAATGAAAATTTGTCATCTGTCTTACAACTTGGAAACTTGGCTGACTGTAACACTAGATTAACCAATTTTTATATTCATAAGTCGATACTAACTGACAAAGCTATGGAAAAAAACGACCAAGAGACATACAACAGTATACAAAACAAAGAAAACTTAAGAGTCTAACTGAGCAACACTAATCCCACTAAAATCCAGGTGTGTATTTGGGGGTGTCTTATCCGCTATCCGAATATTATGCTTTTCGGTTACCAACGTAGAAAGGCAAGGGTTGGATGCTTTTTCCATACATAACAATTATATAATCCCGCCACATGTTGTGCCTGTATTAAGTTGACAATGTGTGAAAACAATGTTTGTGTTTTTTCATTGTATATTATTGTATATTATTGTTGAACATTGTATGTTGCCCTTCAGATACCTTGGGTATTTTGCGTTAATTTATAGGATGAGTCGGTTGTCACCTTTTGTAATGATCTTTGTCCAAATGTTCACAGTAATTCATGTTATCCATTTCATGTACATGTATTATTTGAGCGAGGAAAGGGGAACAGGATTGTGGCTCTGATGTATAGTTTTAAACAGGTGATATATAATCCATCAACTAGTTGTTTAAATTGGAGATCTTTCATTCAAATACTTAGTCTAATAGTCCACAACAAAAATCGGATTTGACATGTGCAAAGAAAATATTTAACACAGACTAAAAATTAAAGTTCCACAGCAGAGGTTATCCGGGTGTCATATGTGGAACAGAAATTATTAACTCTGCCGGACCACCTGACATCCCCCCCCCCCCCCCCCCCCCCCCCCCCCCCCCCCCCCCCCCCCCCCCGTGTTTTGATGGGGTTGGTGTTGCTCAGTCTTTGCTTTTGCGTTTTTCTATTATTACCATGACGTTGTCAGTTTGTCATCAACGTATGGGTTTGAATATGTAACATGCAATAATGTCCCTCATGAAATATTGTACGTATATAACTGTTTATTGTTCAATTCAACTACAAAAAGAAACTGCAAAACACACATTCAGAAAAGACAAAAGAATCGGCAAGTCATGTTAAAGTCTTTCAAGAGACGTTCACGAAAATTCAATACAGTTTAGGGGTATAAAACTTAAGTATCTATACAATTCCGTGATTTCATAATTATATCTATACAGAAGCAGAATAAATGTACCGTTCAGTATTATTAACAATCAGGTGCAATACAAACAGTTAAGTTTTATCTGTCAATAAATGGTATCAAACAAGTAAGATTATTTTATTTCATTGCATACGCTACTGCGGGTTCCCGATTTCATCTGTAAGGATTTAATTCTGAAATTAAACAAAAATTACATATGGTTAACTTTAAAGTTGTGGTAATATATATCATTTGGCTTCGTCGAAACAAAATGAAACAATTCGAACATTTAGTGAACACACACGTGTTTACAGTGCATCTTTATTTAAGATTCAGTTATTATTTTTAGTATAAGAAATATGAACAATCGTTTTCGTTTGTTGAATCACAATACGAGATATTTCCTCAAACAAGCTTGCTTACTACGAATTTCAAAAAGTTTAATGTAAATAACAACAAAATGTCAATCAATTATTAAACTTTCTGTTATAGGAACTCGTCGTATCGTCTATTCTTGTGTGATTTTATGTTCTAAATATATAATGACGACAGATCTCTGCTGAAAATATCTATAGATTATTATAACGAATTTACAAAATATATAATTAACCCTAATGGATAATTCACTTACCATCACAATGATGCATGCATCTTTCCATGTCAAGTCTTGGTGGTACAGTAACACCTAGATCATTTTCGTCTTCTTATCAAGAATGATCAATCGAAAATTAAAACATGCGACATTAAATGTATTCAGTTTTTTTGTTGATAAAAAAGGTACTAAGTAATAAGTGGTCTTAAGTGCATTGCATTCAACGTTAGGGTTTTTTCTCAATCTGAAAAGACAGTTATTGTATGTGTTGTACAAGTTCCTCAAAGTTGTTTTTAATTACAGTTATAATTTTACATATTCCTGTTGGAATGTCGTCGTAAATTAAATAAAATATAAGGTTTATTTGACTGACGATGTTTAAAAATAATTTTAGAATTGAGTTCTCTGAAAACGAAACAGGATTAACGAGATAACAAATGATATTTACCTGCTGGCGCAGAAAGTTCCGTACATTTAGATAGACACTCTGAAATACAAATTTCATCAATTAAAATATTTCCTTTGGCTTGTTAATTTGTGCGAATTAAAACGTGTCTTTTTAAAAACCAAATATAAAAGCCTTTTTATTGTTGAACATTGTATGTTGCCCTTCAGATACCTTGGGTATTTTGCGTCGTTGCGTTTCTGTTAGAGACGTATATCCCATATTTCTTATTCTTTATATAAAATAATATATGATAATAGTTTTCGAGATACTTTTCCTTAAGCCTTGTATTGAACGACCAGGTAATATCCTTTGGCTGATATTGATTTATCGTTTCCTGATTTTGCCCGCGCAGGTTGAATTACAATAACAACTTGTTTCTATTAAGGGGGTACTCAACACTTTGACAATAAAAGATTCGGCTTTAATTTTATAAAATTTTGAGAAAACATTTACTTTGAACTGTTGACAAGAATATAAACGTTTCAAGAAATTTGAACAACACAATTTACAGGAATAATTTCATTGAATATATAACAGTCTGACAAACACTAATTTTGATTATTGAGAAGTTTGATTTCTCTTTACTAATAGTATTTGATTAAAACGTTCAGTTGATTTTTAAAGTGTTATTTCCATTAGGTGTTCTGTGTCCCCTTAAAAAAGCTAAAGTGAATTGGGAATTAAATATGATAAATTTCAAGCAATGGTTTTAAAAATTTGAAAATTAAAATGAAAAGTAATATTAACACAGAACATTTACAGTAGGCATCTGTGCGTTAGTATAATAAAAGTTTTGCTACTTAGATCAAACTGACAGCAGACGCACAATTAACTAGATATTTCTCCTTCAACATATGTCATATTATGACGAATGTGTAGTGCAAATCTTAGCATAAGAAAACTTCCTTTTAGTTTGTGAATAGCTAGTAAACTTCAACTCAGATTATTCATCTTTACATATAAAGTAAATAAATATTGATTACATCATGTACATGATGTCTACGAAGCTATACAGAATACAACAATCTCGTGAAAGAAACCAGTCATATGATTTAGACTTGTGTTTTACCTATGTAAGACTCATCAGTGACTCTCAAATCAAAATAAAATTAAAACCTTATAAAAAGGCCAAATCAATAACAAGATCTTAAATCTTGCGGGTAAAAAATGTAAGTAATTAAAATTGTAGTAAAATTATGATTCCGTTACTTACCTTGTTGGGCATATAGAGCTTGCTGATAAGCTACGTGACCAGCATCATGTTCTGGATAATAACTATCAGCATCAAAAGGATCTACGTGAGGGTCGTCATGATCTGCATGAGAATTATGGTCAGGATCTGCCTGAGAACTATGATCAGGGTCTGCATGATAACTTTTATCATGAACAGGTTCTCCTAGAACTTTACAAGTATAAAGCAATACGACTAAAATCGACAAGGTCGCAGATACTTTCATGATGGTGGCTGGATATCGAAAACGAACTCTTTGAAATAAATTCAAAGGCAAATGTGTAGTTAATTTTCAACGGCGGATTGTTTAGCTTTTATACTTAATTTCTAATGCCACATGTGCAATTATTTTATTTTTTATTCCTTTATAATTGTAAAGAAATTAAATTAACTATAATTAATTTGAAACTTATACTGAATGCAACACGTTGGTATCTTTTGTATCTGATTGATTACTGATGTTATACAGTCGAAGCAAATAGGAAATTGCATAATATTATGAAGTATCCTAATTTAAAAAATTATTATGAAATTTAATAATATTAGTTTATCGAATAATTTTATTAACTATATTATAGGATTTTGTAATTCATAAAATTATGGAAATGCTTAAGATCAGAAGAATTTTGTAATTTCAATTAATTTTTTCGGTCGTTTTTTGGGCCCTGTGACTAATTTTGGGAAAATTCTTAGAACAAAAAGTTATTTCAGAGTGGAGTTTATACAAGGGCATAAGGAACAACGGTCAGATTTTCTACGACACGACGATTTATGATTTTTGTTGATGATTTGACAATGGGAGACAATTCATAAAAATAAGAAGATGTGGTATGAGTGCCAATGAGACAACTCTCCATCCAAGTCACAATGTGTAAAAAGTAAACAATTATAAAGTGCAACTTGTGGTTATAGTTCTTTGATAATTCGATTATGTGAATTCTAATCCTATAAGGTTGATGATGTGAATTTTTATATGTCTATATTGCTTTGCATGTGATTTACAACTGCATAATTTAATCTTGAATTATCTAGTTTAAGCTGTTGGAAATGAATATACGTTTAATAAAGTTAGAACCTGATGTCGGTTGTCATGCTGAAACAATAAAATATCAAAATATTGATAAAAAAACAAATAAAATATTATCTGGCAATGTCTAAATAACAGATAACGGTGTAATTTTTCACTAAAATGATGACAAATAGCAAATTAATTTAACAGCTAAAATCTTATTTTTGTTATCAGTTTTGTAAATGCAGGTATTTTCTTTATTTGCCGAGTGTATAACCTTTAATATATTTTATTTTTACTTTCAAATCTGTTATTTGTTTATATTTATATAGTATGGTTTAATTTGTTTATTTAGTTACTTTTATACTTCCATGAATCAGATCATGACAAGATTCAACAACTCATTAAGTTGGTACATGGTTTACCGCTATCACGATATGCAGCGTAAAATCAAAAATCCTTTTGATGTGATTAAAGAACAAAAGTCAACTTTCACAATTTAAACAATCACAAAGAAGATATTGTAAGAAATTGAAGTTTTAAAGAAGAGTCTTTGTTTAGTTACATACAGTAGATAGGATAAAAAACAACACTGATATCCACAAAAAGTTAAATCGTAAATTGCATTGCCTTTTCTCTTTTTTTTTATTTTATGGGTAAAACAAAACCTTTTGTTAAAAAAGATTCATCGTTAAAGATAGTACTGTGACCTTTGCTTACTTATGTCATTTGGTCTATGATGGATTGTAGGTCACATTCTGGAAAAGGGGACGGGATTGTAGTTACGACATTAGGAACATATCCGCTATCATCTGTGAACCGGATATTCCATAATGGCGTCCGTAAAATTAACGAAGGTATGATTTCAACTTCACCACTTGGAACTCTTGGTTTAATAGCTTCTTTGTGAGCAGCAATCCTCTATCAAGGATATCATGATAGGAAATACAAACCCTGGAGTATCGTATCAAATGGGAGATATATACTCCGTATGCAGGCACTGCTGGAATGTTGCTACATATAAATGGAAAGTTCACAATTGGGAAGCTGAAATCATCTCTTTTGTCATAAAGTTTTGTTTTCAACCGACCCTCATTGTCAATTTCTTGATGTAAGTCAAGATATGAGGCAGACTTAACTGTATCTGTTGTATCCTTTATCTCAAGTTCGATGGGATACATGAGTTCAACATAGTCCCCAAATTTTGAATTATTTAGTGAGAGAACATCATCTATGTAGCGAAAAGTAAGGTTAGAGGATACTGCTAACTTCTTTTCTTTCTTCCTACGAAGTTACTGTATGGAGGAAACCTCATATGATTATAGGAATAAGTCGGCAAGAAGAGGGGCACAGTTGGTTCCCATGGGAATGCCGATTGTTTTTTGAAAAACACGTCCTCCAAACGTAACAAATATGTTGTCAATCAAGAAATCAAGCATCTTGATAATGTCAGTTTCAGAGAATTTTTCGTTAGATTCAGAGTGATTTTTTCAAAGTAGGATTTATCCTTCCCTAAGTCCAGATACTTGTATCTACGTTGGCAATTCTTTTTTATGAAACAAAGCAGGACCAACTCTTGCAATTTGTCTTTTAGTTAGGAATGGGGATTACTTGTGTAAAGTGTAGAGAAGTCAAATGTTTTAATAGTATTGCAAGATGAAAGAGTCTTAGATTGTATGTACCCTAAAAGATCTTTGCAATTTTTTAGTATCCACATCTGATTCACGCCACCTCTAGAATAGGTAGTTTCACAATAACTTTGAAGCCCGGCTTTGATTGCTGATAAAATTAATGTTAATAATTTATAAGGAGGTTTCGTGGAGCACTTGGAAGACCCAGCATTTTACCGTTGTTTGTAAGGACACTTATGTAGTTGGGGATCAAATACAGTGATGGAAGATCCAGTTCTTCATCTGTGGTTGAAATTCTAAAGGAACATGGAACAGACCTATGATAATCCAGGATTTCCACTTTAGTAAGTGTCGTCGGGTTATACATTGAGTGTCCAAGTATACTTTTGTATATTAGGAAAGTTTGTAGTTACTGAAAGCAAGTCAAAAGTACTTTCTCTTGATATCGAAATCATCCGATAACATGATAAAACCATTGTTGAAAAGGACGATCGGTTGGTTGTTAGGGATATACAAATATGCAACCACGTTCGATCAAAATGTGTTCATTAAATAAAATGTCTCGTACAGAAAGCATTACTTGTACTCGTAGCTTACCTATTTGACTGATCGGTGACGGATCTGTGACTGATCGCTGATTTGCGAAGCCCCTATTCCTGAATCAATATCAATTTTAAAAAAATGCCATCTTTAATGACTTGAGAACAGTATCGTAACTATGTCCCTTCTGAATAAGTCTGTTTAAAAATTAAAATCACAAAAATACTGAACTCCGAGGAAAATTCAATCGGAAAGTCCCTAACCACATGGCAAAATCAAATGACAAAACACATCAAACGAATGGACAACAACTCTTTGGTTTGGTTAGCTTTTGAGGTGCATTTTTGTGCTTTGTATAGAATATAACCATAAAAGATTTGATGTGAAATACCTGAACGTATAAGATGTCTGCATGTTGATTTATATTTACGAATGATGTCCTTGTACCGAAGATAAAATTTAGTAAATGTTTTGACTAGTTTGTGATATTTAAAAAAAACCCTGGTGTAATATTTGTTCATTAATACAGAGATTTCTGTCTTTAAAATCAAATACGTTGAAATATATATGTACTTCGTTTGAAAGTTAGCCCAACAATGTAAGGTTAGCAAAATAAATGTTAGTTCTTCCCTCAGCGGGAAACGATCCACTAGTTCCTTCTTTGACATCGTGTCAATACTGTGTCCAGCGCCCTATACCACTCGTTCAACTATGCTATGTAAAATAGGCAGTGACTATTCTTCCGGTCAGCCGGGAAAATAGCCAAAAGATGTATATGTTTTCGCCTAGCTGCCAAATAGTTTATTCTTTCTGCTAACCGAAAAAGTAGATGTTTTATTTTATTACGCTATTTTCCCGGCCATACATAACAATGCATACTGTATATATGCTTTGGTTAAGTCCAGCGGAGAATGTAATGGCAAAAAAAGTCTACAGTATTTTGTATATGTAGCCTTATGTAGAATAAAACGTCACATGTAATATATACAATATCCCGATGTTTTAATCGCATAATTATCAACGCAATGTACTGAACATGATGTACGTGTACTGTGAATTTGCTAATATGTAATTATGAAAGACAGTCCCCCGAAACAATAAAAAAAAATCAAACCAAACAAACAAACAAATATACAAATCTATAAAAAAATTCAAATTAAATCAGAAAAGTTAGGGAAAGGAAAAGAAAAGAAAAATCTGAAACAAATAAACAAATAATAAACCCATAACAAAACTATATATTAGAAATTTTCAATAAATGACATACGTATACGTCACTCGACGTACAGAGCCAATGGGACTGGTTATTGCCAGTCATTTAATTTAACTTAATATGTCGCTCAAGTTTAAACAAAGTATTCCAAGACTTGTAAAATCGTACACTGGAATTATCGTCCATATTAAATAATTGTAATATGATGAAAAATGAATGAAATTGGTTGAGTACGCTGTAATGCCCGGAGAGAACCACCGACCTTCGGTAGGAAAACTGACAATCCTAGTCAATAAAGATTGGATTCGAATTTGCAGGATTCGAACTCACAATCTTATTGTGGATAGTCTAGTGATACAGTAGTTCAACTTCTCAGACCACTTGTCCACTGAGGCCCCCAGGTGAATGAGGGATCATAGACTTTTTATCTGAATTTTTAAAAGAAATACTATTCTTTTAATTCAAAAACTAATCTAACTTACTCCCGGGAGGGACGTTTAATAAATATTGAGTGTTATTGGTGATCCGCTGGAATATGGCTCCGTTTTTATAAGATATATAGCAATGCATATACATGATAAGAGTGCACAGCAAAATAATCAATTCAGATGAAAAATATGCTGAGTTTATTAGCCCAAATTACATTATATTGCTGATATAAGAAACGACCGTGGGTGGGGGTTAGTTATTCATTTTTGTTGGTACGCATGCTTACTCATTTTCCTCAAAACATTTATTTTCAATTTTGTAGACCTCCTCTATTGTCTGCTGCATTTTGTGTTAATGAATATCCATTTTCATCCCGGCTTGTGTGCAAGATTATTTACTTAGTCTTTCCAGGCTAGCATATTAATTTTCAAAATCCTCCTGTCCCTATCCCCCCCCCCTGGTTAGGAAACTTTAGGTCCTTCCTGCGA